AATTATATAAATGGGAAAAGTTTCCATTTTAATTATCTTCTTCTACCTTCTTTTATTTTTTGGGCAAAATCTTATTCTACATTCTTTATAATTAAGGAATTAAATGGTTTGAATGGTTTTAAATCTAAGAACAGAATGCGTCGAAGAAAAAGCACCCAAGGGGATGTGTTTGTCTAATTTGTCTTGTTAATTAATATATGTTACAAATGTTAAATTATCATAATCTTTTAGCCCAACCAGTCTAAGTACAAACTGCTGCAAATTGTTCTCTCTACAAACGTTGAGTAAAGCTTCACCTAAGGATATTGATGAATGTAATTTGAAAAATAACAATTCGTTTCAACACATTTCACAACAGTCACAGATTCAACAATTAAAATTTGTAATTTTTAGTTTTTTTTTTATGTTTTCAATTCAAATTTAAAAATAATAATTTATTAATAAATATATTATAAAATATGTTGAATTAGAATATGTACCGATTATTATCCTTGTAATTTATTAGAGATATTGCATTTTTTTGCTAAAATAATGATGGAGAGATTTGAACATAAGCTTCTAGCATGTATGGGTTCGCTCTTAATTTTATCAGTCAATTCTGACTAATTAAATGTATTACTAGTGGTAAGGATGGTAAGAGGAATGGAGGGGAGAGGGAGATGGAAGGAGTAGGGGAAACTCCTGATAGGTGAAGCAAAGGTCTTTTTTGTTTTTTGAGCAGGCCATCCAGAGGCGGCACGAAATGGGGGATTCCCCTTTTTAACTCTTTAGGTGCTTAATGTTGGAATCATTGGGCCATAATAGCTTAAGGTTTCGGGTTAACTTGAGTTATTTACCTGTTTTTTTCAGAACAATTTTAATAATAACCTGTGAGGGACTAGGTGAGGTTGGGCGGCAGTTCCATAGTATTCTACTGTATTCCTGATTCTGAATAATGATATTTGTTTTCTCATAAAAATAAACAAATAAATGTATTACTATTTTTCAAATAACTTTTGTGAATTTTCAATATTTTTTCCTCATCAAATGAAAGAATATAACACTATAAAGACCTAAACATAAAAGTAGTTTTACTAAATTGCGTCTAAAAAAATCACATAAGATAGGAATTTCTACTCCTCTCTTTTTCCTTTCTCCCTTTCCATTTCAAAGATTTTTTCTTGAGTTGAAAGAAAACAATTGATGCAAAAGGGTGTCTTATTTTGTCGGCCAAGGTATATGAATCCCAATCATTATAGCTATCATACCCTATGATATCAAATGGGGATTTGCAGTACTTACAAATATTAGAAAGGTTAAGCTAGGTCCATCAACAAAAAGAAGGGGAATCAAATAGTGAGATTTAGATACAAACTAAGCTATTTAAAGACAAACAAAACCCAACAACAAGACGGCAACAACCATTTGTTTACTCGATAATAAGACACCTAATCAAGCATCTTATACATAATTAAAAAGATATGATTAATTTTTTATTTTGATCGATCCACATATATAATTGTACATTAATTCTCTTTTTTTTTTTTTTGCTAAGTTATATAAAAGTAAATAACTCTTTTATTTTTTTCATATCTTTTTTTATTTGACTTAAGATTTAATTGTAAAATCTTTAATTTAAAATCTTAATTTCTTAATTAGTTGAACCGTCCCCTTGGAATAATTCCCCCTTCTTCTTTTGAAATAAGGCAATTGGTATGAAGGAGGAGAGGGATGCCATTGTCAAGATAAACTTATTTAAGTGTATCAGTGTATCAAAATTTTACAACCTAGATTCATGCATTTTCATCTTCACCTAAGATGCAGAATCCTTAGATGTTATATATATACTATTCGTTTTAAATTAGGTTGATGATACCTCTGACAACTAATGATATGGCTCCTGCAAGAATAAACTAATTTATAAGGTCTAAGTTTTTACTTTTGGGGTTAAAATATATATATATATATATATATATATCAATGATTAACCAATTGGTATATATAATTATCAAATTGAGCACCATTGCGTTGAAGTCATGTTCTGCTGAAGCTTTGGGAATATGCAAAGTAGTGGCTGGCACGCACAGTTGCACTCGCACACATGGGGCATCCATTCATAAGGAATAAAGCATGAGACATTGAGTGTGTTTTCCCTAGCGATATTCCAAAGCGTGTTGTGGATGAGAGTACAAAACTTAATTAAGTTGTTGAGAATTTGAGGTCGTAATAAGTTAAAGATGACATACTGAAATCATTAAGGTTGGTATAAGTAAGGAGAAATTATTAGAAGAGAATTGCTATTATTGTTTATAACCCAATTATGTGATGTACTAAAGACGACTAGAAATATTATCAGAAATTGAAGACATGCAATATAGTAATTGGTTTATTTAATTGAGTTGGTTTTCTGGCGAAGCGTTAGATCAGAAATTGAAGACAGAACAGCATGAATGTTATATATTGGGAAGGAGAAGCAACAAAAAATAAGGGCTAATATTAGGTTAGGCCAGCTGTGTAATAGAGCAACTGAAAAGTTTATTGTGATAAATTGGCAATTACTGCATAATGTAAATACTAGACTTAAGGATGGTCCAAAAAATGTAGGATACTTAATATTAAAAAAAAAATGTAGTATATATATATATATATTTTTGATCTTGATTGTGTAATGAAACGCAACTATCTTTCATCTTTTAACCTACTTCACCTGCATACCATACAACTCAAACTCAGAATCTTTTCCTTTCAGTGAAAAAAATAACCACTAAATTATTTAAATAATTGGTAACGTAGTATTCCTTTTTTAACCTTTAATTGGCAAACATCTCTATCTTCAGGCTGTGCCCGTAATCATTCATAATCATAAAACCCAAAAAAAATTAATAATAAAATAAAAGAGGAGGGAAGTAAACTCAGTGATTTATGCTAAGGTGGATTTGAACTATGTAGAAAACTAGATTTTATATCTGACCTTTATTTATGCTTCAAGCATAAATAATCATCAAGACATAAGAAAAATATTGGTCAAATTAATAATAAGGATATCAAATGAACATTGGGACAGAAATAATGTAGGAAAATGCTATATCCACCTTCATCCTCTGCACACTCTGTGACACACATCCATTCTTCGTTATCTTCCCGTTAACTCCCTAATGGAGTCATCCCACCCCATCGTCACTCCGATGATTAGTGACTGGAAAACTATCCCAATTTCCAGCACCTGTGACACCAATCTGTGCTTCACCACTTGCGATTGCTCTCAATAAAACCTGCAATTTCATCCTTTAATTTTCTTTCTCTCTCTATCCTTCCATCAACACCGGATCTGAACATTTTTCCTTCCAATTTCTCTCTTTTGTTGGGTCAATCGAAGGAACCCAGCAGTGGCTGCTTTCCTGAACTTGTATGCCGTTGTCCACCTAAAAATTCCGTTCAATTCCCGTCCCAGAAATTCGAATTAGCTTCTGAAATTGTCTGCAAATACGTCTTGCTTTTTTGAGAAGAAGGGTGATGAGCTGAAAGAGAGTGGTGAAGTCGCTTCAAGCGCTTGTAGCCTATGCCCTTCTCTTCTCTTTCATGCTTTTGCTCACTTTCAAGCTTGATTATGCTGTCACTTATTTTTGGTGGTTCGTATCTCATCCTCTATTTTTCAAAATTTCCCTTTCATTGCCTAGGAAGTTGGAGAAATTGCACTTGAAATTTTGAGTCTTGTTTGGAGTGGTTGTGCGAAACTCTGAAAATGCCCCCAAGTTGCTGGGTTCCTAAATCCTTATCTTCAACCTCTAAATCCTTTCATTTTCCCTCCCTTTCCCCAACACTAGATCTGGGTTCCTTTGCAGGTTCCCACTTGCTTAACTTCATGCCCTATGCCAGTGAAACCGACGACAATGATGAAGAAGAAGGAGATGAGGCTG